TCTAATAAAGATAGTATTTTTCTTGTGGTAAATAGTTTTTTATAAATAAAAGCTCAAATAATAAAAAATACAAAAACTACTGAAGATTTTTAATGATTAATTATAATTATAATTTGATCTAACATGTGATACACTTATGAAAGATCGATATATTTTATTTTAGAGTTTGTGCATGTGTACGCCATATCAATAAATTTATGATTTTTAAAAATTACTTAAATAATATTTAAACAATGTCCCTGGTTTATAAAACAAAAAGTAGGCTGAATATTGAACGCATTTAACTAACTCAAAAAGGGAAGAAATCCTTCTATGCAAGAACCCTCAAATGCTTTATTCTAATTTTCATTGACTTATGCGAAAATATTTTATGAAAATTACTATTATTTCTGCAATTTAATACAAAATCAAGCAGATAACACATAAATATTATTATCAAGACTCTTTAAAAATTTGTCAAATAAAACTTATTTAAAATTAAATATTTTCATCTCTTCAGAGATTTGAGAATGAAGAGGTTGCCCGTATAGCTTAAGAAAAATTTAATAACTATAGTGTAAAATCTAAAATTAACAAATATTAAGTTAGTATTTTATAACAAATAATCTAAAAAGACATATAAAAAGACATAGAGAGTTGTTATTTGTTGGAATTCATGAAAAAGAAAGAAAAGAAATTAATAAAATCTCATTTGGAACACATAATATTGTCTTCTACTATCTTATCTTTGTTGCTTCAAGTTCGTATTCTTACCAACGTGATTCTAAATATTATACTATAATTGATTTTTCTCTATTATTTAATTTTTTAGCACCAACACTCTCCCTTATTGAGCCGCTCCTACCGTTCTAACTAGTATTAGCACCCGCGCGGATGCGCGGATACTAACTATGTCAAACATTTGAGTTATTTGGATTATATGTAAATAATCTTAAATTTTAAAACTTCTCGATAAATATAGATAATAATTGGATATTAATTAAGAAACACTACATGAAAAAAGATTAAGAATTTCTCAAATCTCTTATTGGATCCTAAAAATAGCCAGAAAACAAAATAGTAACTCATATTTATGGCAAAACAATCAAAGGTTGAGACTACGAAGGACTCTTTAGATATGACTTGACTCAATTAAATACTACTTGAACTCTTATTTGGTGTGTTGATATCTATTAAAAGATATTTCTATTTTAAAATTTCAGTTTCTAAAACTTTATTTTTAATAAAAATTATTTTTATAATAATGTAAGTGAAAATATTATCCTTACTTCAAAACTCATTTTAGCCGGCTATCTAAAAATATAAGTTAAAAAAAATTAGCCAGTGAATTTTTTTCCAGTATGACTCCATTTTGATATTTGACATTAACCATATTAAATATCTGAGTCATTTGAATTATATGTAAATAACCTTAAAATTTAAACCTTCAAATAATAATAGATAATCGTTAGATATTAATTAAGAAACACTACATGAAAAAAGACTAACATTTTCTCAAATCTCATGGTGATAATTTTATTTTTGCACCATTCTCATTGGTATCATTAGAACCTAAAAATAGCCACAACCCGAAATAATAACTCATATTTATGGCAAAAACTTTTTTTGAATACTAACTAATTTTTGTGATGTTTCTTTTTTCCAGCATGTAGATTTACTTCATTATATATGTAAGTAAACTTTTATTAGATTTTTAAACTTTTTTTGTTCTCTGCATAATCATAGACGTGTACCATATATATTATATTTATTTTAAAAGAAATTTGCTTTATTCAAATCTAGCTATAGTGTTTTAAAGAACTATAATTATAAGATTTTAAATGTGAAAGAGTATTATAGTTATATGAAGTTTTTTTTCTTTTTTCTTTTTGCTAAAAGAGAAGTAGTAATTAAATAATTAAAAAAGATAACAAAAGTTCCTAACATGATTGCATATGATCATTAACCGAATTAAGTGTATATATATATATATATATATAGTCTCATTTAGAAAGAAAGAAAAGAAATTAATAAAGTCTCATTTAGAACATATAATATTGTCTTTTACTATCTTATCTTTATTGCTTCAAGTTCGTATTCTTACCAACCTGATTCTAAATATTATACTATAATTGATTTTTCTCTATTATTTAATTTTTTTAGCACCAACACTCTCCCTTATTGAGCCGCTCCTACCATTCTAATTCCTTTTCAATTAGAAGAATTAATGTAAATATCTGTCCACCAACTGCTTAAACTAAAAATACCAGATGGATGTGTGTATATATATAAATAATTCATGTATAATATTATATAATTTGTGTATAGTTAATAAATACTATCTAAAAAAAAGTAAACAGTAAATCCGATCAGCTATCTTTATAAAGATCCCTTAAAATCAAGCGTAGAATTTCTTTGGGCTCACACTAAAGCACCCGTTTATTTGGACTCACACTAAAGCACCTTATAACTAGAACGTCTAAACTGGGGCATTTTCGTATATACCTATCTTTGGGCCATCATTGAAGTTATGCCCCTATTGCACAAAAAATTTATAAAGTGTAGCCGCTCGGATCTGAAGTAGTTCAATATTTTCAATGCGACTTCATAAATCAAATATGAAGTTCTTCTATCTTTCAAATGCTACTTCAGAAATTCGAATTTGAAGTAGTTCAATCTTTTCAATACAATTTCAGAAATCAAATATGAAGTTCTTCTATCTTTCAAATGCAACTTTAGAAATTTGTATCATAAGTAGTTCAATATATTGAATGCAATTTCAGATTTCGAATCTCAAGTTCTGAAACATAAACTTATTCTTCGTTTAAACAATCCAATACATGATTCAATGTTCAAATCTACTCGAGATGAGCTCAAATTTGAAACATAATTTTCAAAAATCATAAAGAACAAATCCCAATCATCAAATTGTCAAAACAACAACAAATTTAACAAATTTAGTTTGCAACTTAGAAGAAGAAAAAGAAGAAAAAAAAATGTATGTATGAAGTTATCCAAAAAATTGGGTATCATTTTTTTTTTAAAAAAAAAGTGACTAAGTGAGTACTAGGGGTGTTCGTAAAAATTCGAAAACCCGAACCAAACCGAAAATCAAACCAAACTGACCAAAAAAATCGATACTTTTTGGTTTGGTTTGGTTTTGGTTTTGAAATTTAAAAACTCCTATCAAATTTGGTTTGATTTTGGTTTTAATTAAAAAAAATCGAACCAAACCGAATACAGGAGTAGCTATTTTAAATTTATTATTACACCTATATATATGTATACTTTTATACAAAGTTTTAAAATTTTTATAGTAAATATTAATCGTTTGCACTTTTAGTACAATTCTTTACCTTTACATTCTAGTTTAATTTGTAGTTTTCTTTTGTTAAGTGTAAGAATCTATTTCATGTTAAAAATAGTATATTTTTAATTGAGTCCTTAAATTATTCATCACTATTTGATTCAATTATCACCAATATATCTTGGTAAATAATAGATTTTTCAAATGAGAATTGATTTGATAGTGTTACGTTGAAAATGTGATCGCCGAAATGTGTGTTTTGGTAGTGTATGTCTTATATTTAAGAGAAAGACCGACAAATAACCGAAAAAACCGAAAAACCGACATAAACCGAATCGAGAAAAAACTGAGTTAATTGGTTTGGTTTGGTTCTAATATTTGAAAAACCGACTTCCTTGGTTTGGTTTCTTTTTAGGGAAAAACCGATCCAAACCGAACCATGAACACCCCTAGTGAGTACAAATATAATGGGTGACGAAAAACTGGGCACCAAAATCGGAAAAATTGTGTGGGGTAGCCACCTTTTAAAGTGGTATTTATTTTTTATCCAGCATTTTCAATGCTTAGCAATAGTAGTCACTAGTCTATTAAAATTAATATGAAAAGACAGTGTTACCCTTTATTCTATCTGTAATGCACAAAAACTGTGTTGGCTGTCATCAAGCCCCACCACCATCACCGGTTTCTCCTCCGCCGTCGCCATTCCAATTGCTCAATTGACTGAATTTCAAGCTTTTCAAACTTGACAGGGTTTTAATTGGCTGTAAGGGAATTTATTCTAACTGAGTAATTTCAAGCTCTAAGAATGGTGAAGAAGAACAGAAACCTTTTGATCTCATCTGTGTGATTTTTGTCGTCTTATGGTGGCGTACCAGAAATGACAAGTGGCTATGAATTACTCGTACGTACGTTGGTTGAATTTTGGTATGAAAATTAGTACCAAAGTTACGGTCAATCACTGGTTAAGGATAATAGGTCCTGAACTTAGTCTAAGAAGCCCAAAAGTTAAGGACAATAGGTCCTGAACTTAGGCTAAGAAGCCCAAAAGTTAAGGACAGACAGTCCTTAACTTACAGTTACAAGTTCAAAAGGTAAGGACAATAGGTCCTTAACTTTGATTTCCAAGTTCAAAAGTTAAAGACAATAGGTCCTTAACTTTGATTACCAAGTTCAAAAGTTAAGGACAAGCAGTCCTTAACTTACAGTTACAAGTTCAAAAGTTAAGGACAATAGGTCCTTAACTTTGACTTACAAGTTCAAAAGTTAAGGACGCTTGGTCGTGAAGTTTGAGTTTCAAGTTCAAAAGTTAAAGACATGTAATCTTGAAGTCCTGAACTTAGAGTTCCAAGTTCAAAAGTTAAGGACATGTAGTCCTAAAGTGTTGAACTTAGAGTTACAGGTTAAAAAGTTAAGGACATGTAGTCTTGAGTCCTGAACTTAGAGTTTCAAGTTCAAAAGTTAAGGACATGTAGTCCTGAAGTTAAGGACATGAGCATAAGGGTATTTTCGTCCGGGCAGTTAAAGTTTATTAAACCAGTGGCTAAATACTAAAGACAGTTAAAACACTGACTTTAAAATAAAGATATGAGCCGTCAGTGGCTATTTGTGCACATCACCCCACCAAAATCCACATTACGTCCAAACCGTACAATTGGGCTAAACAACAGGCCTTAATTTCTTAATCATAACTGGGCCAAACGAGCCATCAGGGCACTGGACTGGCGCCCATGGTTATAGAAGAGAAACAAAGCCCTAATCAAATTTGCAGATATAGTTATATAAAACCCTAACGCCTCCAAATACCATTTCCTCTTCAGTTTTCGGTGGATAGAGAGAGGGCCGTGAAGATCGACACCGTCCGCAATGTCGAAGCGAGGTATCATTCAACCTTATTCCACTTCTTTCTATCATTAGCTGTATTTTTTTTTTCAATTTCTGAAAAATGTGTTTTAACTTTTAAGGACGAGGAGGTTCCGCCGGGAACAAGTTCAGAATGTCACTGGGTCTGCCGGTGGCGGCGACGGTGAACTGCGCCGATAACACAGGTGCTAAGAACCTGTACATCATTTCAGTGAAAGGGATCAAAGGAAGACTTAACAGGTTGCCTTCAGCTTGTGTTGGTGACATGGTTATGGCTACTGTTAAGAAGGGTAAGCCAGATCTTAGGAAGAAGGTTATGCCAGCTGTCATTGTTCGTCAGCGCAAGCCCTGGCGCCGAAAGGACGGTGTTTTTATGTACTTCGAAGGTATATTTTCAAAGTATCCTTGTTTTTATTTCGTTTGTGAAAATGTGCTCGAATATACTGGATTGAATATGGGAGATTTGTATAGTTGATCCTAATTAGTTTTGGATGGTTGTGCAGTTGTATGATTGATTGATATTGAAAATTTGTTTTTGTGATGTGTTTGCTGTTCTTTTTTCATGTTACAAAGCTGTTATGAGCTGAATTTTTGTGTTTTACTCTGTTAATATTTTGTTTATGGTTACTTGTTATGGCTTTATGAGGAATTTGGAGGTGTTGACTGTTATAATGTGGAAGTAGCTAGTGTTATTTGAGAGATGTATCTAAACATCCAACTAATTATATTATGATGAATGGGTAGCTTTATTTCTTTATTCATCAACTGCTTGATTCTATTTTTCTTGTTTGAGCTGCTGTGTTAGCTGTTATTTCCAGTCTTTCTGCTTGAATGAACTAGAATATATTGGAATGGACTGATAGATTCATTTAGCCAACCCAAGCCCCTAACTGATTCAGGATTGAGGCGTCTTTTCAGGGCTTTGCTGTCATGAGTTTGTTTAGTCCTTTTCTTCTTGCTGGTGCTGTTTGTTTCGGTTGACAAAAAGTTGATTGATCGTTCCTTTCTTTCTATTCAGTCGCAATTCTGTCTCCCCTTTGTGAGATGGCTTGTCAGTTTTGTTTCTGTGTGAGCCACTGTGTTATGTTTGCATTAATAGTATTATCTTATTAGCTTAGACAATGTCAGTTTCTGCTGGTGCATGTCTTCTAAAAAAGACACATGAAAACCTGTCTCTGATTCATTTGTTTTTGGGTTCTGCAGATAATGCTGGTGTGATTGTGAACCCCAAGGGTGAAATGAAAGGTAAACTCAGTTTACTTTGAATAGTGCAGATTTTATTTTAGAGGGTATCATAAATACCCTTAAAAATACATGCTTGATTATATTTTGAAGTCTCCCTCCCTGAAGATTCAAGCTGCTTCGATCAACCCCTTAATAAATTGCTTTCTTCTGTTGACTGGTATTTTAGGACCTCAAATATATGAACCTGTCTTGCTCTTGTCCTTGCCTTATTCTTTTAATGTTTTATTTGTAGGGTCTGCCATCACTGGCCCAATTGGAAAAGAATGTGCTGATCTTTGGCCTAGGATTGCAAGTGCTGCCAATGCTATTGTGTAGAAGTAGGGTTGCTAAGTAGTTTACAGTTCTCGTGTTGTTGGTTTTTCATCAAGTTTTTGAATATCTAAGGGCTTTGTCTTGGTAAGAATTATTGCTCAGAATTTTGCAGTGCTAAAATGGTTTTCACCCATCAAAGAAATCAAATGTTTTCATTTCCATGGTTTAGTGCATTTATCACAATGATACAGAAGTATTAATACGTTTCTTCTCATTAGTAGTGGTAATTGCTCTTCTGTCAATGCTTGAAAAAGTTTGTCACAATGTAGGCTCTTCATTTTTCTCTTTGAAAAAGTTATCTGTTAACTTTGAGGATTTATAAGGCCAAGGGTAAATTCACTGCCCTCCACTTAAACTACATGGTGGACAATTATTTTTTCTAAAGATATTGTATACTAAGTTTTTATGTCCTGTCGTCAAGTAACAGTATGATGTGAATCCACCATTGTCTGTTGTGGTTCGATTTTACCTTTATATTTTACGGTTACCTTGTCTTTGGGGCTTTTTTCCTTGAAGGTTAAAGATACTTTAATATGAATGTCTGATTATTAGATTTTATTTCGAAATACGAAAAAAATAATTAGAACTGTTTGTTTTTTTAGTATTTGAATTTGTATTTTGTCTTTATTTAAAAAACAATAAATACAGAATTTAAAAAAAGTATTAACCAAATATCATATCAGCAAAATATTAGATAAATCTCAAAACTAACCTTTTCATTACTATAGCTGTTCTCTATAGAATGAAAACCACTTTTAATTACTAATTCCTTATTTGTATTTTTAATTTAATTTCGGAAAAGGCTTAGAAATGCCACTCAACTAATATAAATGGCTATCTATGCCATCTTTTAAAAGGTCGTCCTATTCATGCCACTAACTGTATACTTTTGGTCTATTTATACCACTAACGTTATACTTTTGGCCTATTTATGCCATTGTCGGCTAACAGTTCCATTTTCTATTTTTTAAATAATAAGAATTAATTTTTCGACTCCACCTTTGCCACGCTTCTTTATATCACTGGTTCTTCGTAATTTGACCCTACATTTCTTTTAACCCTGATTATGTATAATTAACCATGCCCAACCCGATAAAATTCAACCATCTTTTAACCCAACCCCTAATCCCTTGTCGCGTAAGATGGTTGGATTTTATCGGGTTGTGCATGGTTAATTATACATAATCAGGGTTAAAAGAAATGTAGGGTCAAGTAAAGAAGAACCAGTAATATAAAGACACAGCAAATGTGGGGTCGGAAAATTAATTTGTATTATTTAAAAACCAGAAACGGAACTGTTAGGGCATCTCCAACCTTCACCCCCATTTTGGTCCCCAAAATGGAGATTTCCCTATTTTAGGGACAACTTACTCCAACCATTCCCCCATTCCTCCCCTCCCCCCAAGAGAATATTCTTTTTTATATTCTTCTCTCTCTTCTATATTATATTATTATCTTTTATTTCAATTTTATTTTTTTATTTCCATTAAACAAATTCCATCTTTTATTTTCATTGATTTGTAATTTCCATTAAAACAATTCCATAAAATTTTAAATAATATAAATTATAAGCAATTATTATAGATTAACTAATAATTCAAATAAAAGTGAAATCATTGCGATACAAGATTAATTAAATACATATTACATAACGATAAATTTCATTCGAAATACTACATAAATATTCAACTTCAACCTCTAGTATTCTCCCATAAATGATCTATTAATGAATTACGAAGTGCAAAATATTAAATGTATATTGTCGATCCGACTCGTCGTGAATTTATGCGACAAGAACAACAACGAATAATGTATAAAAGAAGTCAACAATATCCACAGTCACAACCACAACAATCCTCGGCCACATTCACTCAATACTATAATGATTTTGGTGTATCTGGAAACGACATACCTCCCTACTAAGTTATTGTGCTATTGATCGTGGTTTCAACTTTTATGTATTTTAATTTAATGTATTTTCAATTTTCATGTATTTCCAATTTTAATGCATTTTCATTTAATGTATTTTCAATTTTTACTTTTCAATTTTAGCAATATCTAATATTTTATATTTGCACCATTCATTTTTTGAGATGATTATATATTTTTTGCACAATTATAGCTTATAATAAAATTAACTTACAATTTTACATAAAAATAATAAATGCACAAAAATTAATATATCAAAAATATACGCCAAAGTTAAGATGTAAAATTAATATTATAAAGATATTACATAAACATAATTAGTATATATAAAGAGATAAATTAAAAGAGTTAATAATAAAATAATAATAAAATATGAATAGTAATTGGGGAGATGAATAGTGTCCCCCATATTTGGAGGAACACTATTCATCCCCCCATTTTGGGGGCAAAAATAGGGGAAGGTTGGAGCTCCATTATGGCAAAAGTTACCCTCATTATGGAGAAATGGGGGAGGGTTGGAGATGGCCTTAGTAGACAATGGCATAAATAGGCCAAAAGTATAATGCTAGTGGCATGAATAGAACGATCTTTTAACGGATGGCATAGATAGGCCATTTATGTTAGTTGATGGCATTATTAGGCCCTTTCTTGTTTAATTTTAATATAAGAGATGGGAAAGGGAAATAAGGAGTTTAAAATAAAGGAGAAAAGGTTGGTAGTGACGACGAGGATGGTGATAGGTGGCTGTGGTGTTTGTGCAGTGGGAGTCAGCAAAATAGTGATAAAAAGTCTATCTTCGCAGGAATTTTCTATCTTCATAGGAATTTTGGATTAACAACACCCAAAGGCGTATTATAGTAAAGAGGGTGGATCATAATAATGTTTACCTCGAAAATACGAGTAACAATTTAATTTGATTTATGATTTTAAAGATACGTGATTTAGTTCAATACTAATTAATAACCAAGAAATCTGAAGTATAAATGAAAGAAATAAGTAAAACCAAACCAGAATGTAGGTCAGTCTCGACCTCGAGCCAAAGTGACCTCGAGATGAATCAAGAACAGTAAAGCTAAAGGACAATTCTGATGAACAATGAGCGAAAATGTAAAAGAGTATATTCTTTGCCAATGATTGATTGCCTTTTACAAATGATTGGGGTCCCCTTTATATAATAGGGGAACCCTAAATAAGGTACATTTCCATTTACAGTAAGAATCTTATTGGGACAGCTTTCTAACCGCCTAGTACGGATTCGTACAAATCTATTCCGGGGTTTATGCCGCGATCTTGGGGACGTGGCAGGAATCTAGCTCATTCTGTTATAAATCCATAATGGCATTATCTCGAGGCTAGTCATATTAGGCTTTGGCGTTCCTCGAATATTTAGTTCTTCGAGCCTCGTGCTTCGTCCTCAGGTTCAAACTCGGTCCGTAGTGAGTCCGTTCCTCGACACGAGCCTTCGAGCCCACAAAATCGGGGGCACCTGATTTCACCGCATACAGATAGTCCTTGCGTTTCTTAGAGTAAAATGATAAGAAACGATTTGAACCTCAATTTTCCGGAGTCTAGGATGGTGACGCCATTCCCTTGACGTAGGTGCTCGAAGTGACCGAAACGTCCCGTCGTTTCACTTCCCAAAAACATTAAATGCATGCCAGTAATGGTCGGCCACTAGCGGCGCTGAACCGTCGCCGCTCATCTATAAATACGGGACTCCTTTTTTGAAGTAAGAACTTTACTTCTTGATTACATTCTCTCTGATCCCTTCTTCTTTCTCTCGCCACCTGCTTCCACCTCCGCCGCCCTTTAAGTGCCGAAAAACTTCGAGCTCCGCCAACTTCTGCATCTTTTAACTTCAAAACCATGGCGAAAACATCTAAAACAGTTCCTCAAAAAGAGAGAGCTTCTTCTTCCTCTTCTTGGCCGGCCAAACTTGTGGCGTCGGCTCTTCACGAGATGGTTCCCGACCCTTGTGTGATAAAGAAAGATTTCAACATTGAAAATCCCCCAACATCCCAGGCCGATGTGAACATGTATCTCGATACATTAGTTCGATATCGAAGAAGTACCTCAAGGCCGTGAAGAAGGACTGCGGTTGGGGAGAGAGTTCGTGATACAGATTCCCGACCCCGAGGATAGCATCACTACTCACGTGGAGGGGTCTTAAGTGTTTACACTTACCCCTTCACATTGGGTCCCCTCGATCCAGTAGTGATTGACTTTTGCAAAAGGTACGAGGTCACTCTCGACCAGATCCATCCCTCCTTTTGGCGCATCGTGATTATGCTGCGCTATTTCTCTAGCAAGGCCGAGGGGGTAGAGTTTACCCTCAACCATCTCATTCGGCTGTATCGGCCTCAGATGTTTCGAGGGCTTATCAAGCTTCAACGTTGATCAGAAAAGGCCTTCTTTGCTAGTAACGACAAGGATAAAGATCGACGCCGGATGAGCCGATTTGTTAGAGTGAGGACCTCGGACGTCATCCCTAGGGGAAAAATGCCATTCCCGGAGAGATGGAACTTCAATCGTAAGTGAAGTCCTTTCTCAAATCCCCTCTCATATTCCGCTTCCGTGTTTCGTAATGCCTCTACCTTTTTTACATTTGTTGCTTGGACGCCCGATGCAATCCCCGACCTTGAGGACTGGGTCCGAAAATTAGCTGCAACCTCCTCGTACGATGAGCGTAAATGGCGCAACTTATCGAAGGGAAAATGGGAGGCCAAGCACCATGGTTAGTTCTTCTCCTAGGTTTTCTAATGCTTTCCTTATACTGGAGATGTTTTCCACACTTACGCTTATCTATGTAGGCATCAGAGATGTCTTTGAAATGAGGCCAGCCCGGCCCGGGGAAGAGTCTGAGTCCCCGATTCCAAAATCGGGGAAGGACAACAAGAGAAAAAAGGCTTCGAAGCCCGAATACCCTCAGGAAGAGAGGGCCCCTACTCAAAGGCCAAGGAGGAAACTTATTCATGTGGATGTAGATTCGGTCCACCAGTTTCTGGATGATGAAGAAGATGAGGGCGAAGAATCGGCATTATTGACCCGGACTAGGAAACCGGTCGAGGCCGCCAAGCTCTCTGAACTGGAGACTTTGCCTTGTGGTGAGGAAACTCCGAAGAAATATTCGAGCAAAACCCTCGAGTCCCCTGAGATCGAGGTCATTCCCCCGCCTTTAACAAGCGCACCGGAGGGGGCAGGTGCCGAGAGTCCTAAAGCTAATCAGAACGCCCCAAGAGAAGAGTTCGGGGTTGTGACAATAGGTCACTCCCC